AAATTTCTCAATCTTTTACAAACTGCATTCCCTCTCATATTTTTTAGTCTATTTTCTAACATATCCTCAGCAGGCCATAGGGATTTTTTTTTTTTGTATCAAAAAAAAAAAAAAAAAAAAAAAAAGAGTTTAGACTTTAGACAGTGGCATGTCCTAGCATGGCATTCACCAGTAGAAATAAAAGGCAAGCCACTTACAGAATTTAAAATTTTCTAGGAGCTAATAAAAATTACAAATTTTTATTCTGCATTTTTTTAATATTCTGCATCTTTTTTAGATATTAACTCTTCAAAATCTTTAGTGTATTTTACACTTAGTGCACCTCTCTAGACTGACTGCATGTGGAGAATGGTGACTGTATTGGCTAGTATAATCCAGATATTTCAAGCAGGAAAATTATTTGACCAGATTTGCATCGTAAAAAGAATGAAGTGGGCTAGACAGGAAATATATTAATGAGAGATGATGAAGACTTGGTGTTATAGGGATGGGTTAGGAAAGCATGGAATTAAAAGGTATTTAGTAACCATATATAGCTGATGGAAATAGGAGCCAAAGTGTACCGCAAATACAGTAGAACCTCCATAGTTAACTACCTCCTTAAGGTGGCCTAATTTTCATCGACCAGACGTGTACCACATTGTGCCCGTCCAATAGGCCTACTTCCCATTTAATGTTGACCACCTTCGTATGTTGACCAGTTGTTATAGGCCCTGAGGTGGTCAACTTGCAGAGGTTCTACTATGATTTGACAAGGCCCTGAGTTGAACCCAGCTGTCCTCCAGTACCCTCCCTGCAAGCTGCTCCTTCCTCAGTGGTCACCCTCTCACTCCTTGTGACTCACACAGGCAGAAACCCCGTGCAGTGGGTTCTACCTTCAGAATACCTCTCTGACTCTGCACATCTCTACCCCAACCTGAACTCTGACTAGGACAGGTTTCTCTGCCAGAGTGTTTTGTGTGACTCATTGGTAATACTCAACACAGTTAAACTTAATGTTCCCTGTTTCTGATCCTCCCCAGATTATAAGCTCCATAAAGGCAGGAACTCTCTGTTTTCCCCACACCTGCCACAAGCTTGGTCCATGGTTGGAACTGTCATTTATGTTTAAGTGTAGGCTTGGCAGCCTTTTAGCTTAACATCTGGTTCTAATACTCTATGGAGAATTTCAGTTTCCAATTATCTCTAGCATAGGCAGGTCAAGTGGAAGACATACAGTTTGGGGTCAAGGAACTTGGGCTTGAACTCTGGCTGTGCTATTTAATAGCTTTGTGACCCTGTCCAAGTTATTCAACCTCTCCTGGCCTCAGTTTTGTTATCAGTAAGAAGGGGATAATAGTACTACTACTCTACATTGTTTCAAGAATTGATCAAATGAAATAATGCATGTGTAGTATAAAATACAGTGTGATGTATGACATCTAGTAATTGTTCAAGATTTATTAGTAGATAATATTTTATTTGCAGGTATTTGTTGTCTCACTATGACATAGTTTTTATTAAGCCACTACAGTAATGAGTCTGTTGATAGGATACTGTCACTTAAGTATTAAGTGGTAAGAAATGTAATAAAGTTTATAAAATATCCCAACATCATTGATAAAATATGTCGTTATAATAATAATGTATAAAGCCTTCATATTAACAACTAATATGCCATTGACCAAGAGAAATAAGAGCCACTGAAGTAAGTTCTGTGATAATATATTACATATAACACAGGCTAAATACAGAATATTAAAGGGAAATGCATTTTTTTAACTAAAGCAAAGTGATACCTTTTTAGTTCAACAGAAATTGTCTGTTCAAAGTATTTTTAAAATTTCTGACTTGTTCCAATGCACAGAGCATATAAGATATTAACAGTCTCTTCTTGAATACCTGCTATGTATATAACACTCTTAACATGTATACTTTAAGAGATAAAAAAGAAGTATGAAACATGATTTCAGCTCTCCAGGCTCTTATAATCTACTTGCAAGGAAATGTCTGAATCAAGTGAAACAATTTGTGAGTTAAATAAGATAGCATTTAATTAGTTGCTAAAACCAAGGACTGCTTTGAGAATTAGACCAGAAAAGGAGTTAGTCTTCTTAGAATTTAGCTATGAAAAGACCACATTGCAGTAGGAGGATCTGATGTTGTAGGGTTTTTAAAATTCTTTTTTGATGGTTCACTTTGTTATAGAAAATTGGATGAATAGTCATTACACAAAGTATGATAGCAAGCTTTAGAAATACAAATACTGCAGAGTGTCTTTTCAGAATGTTGAGACTAACCGTTGTTGGTTTTCTCACTTTCATAGAAAAGTTGTGATGGAACAGGTGCTATGTACTTCATAGGATGTGGTTATAATGCTTTTCCTGTTGGATCGGAGTATGCTGACTTCCCACACATGGATGACAAGCAGAAAGACAGAGAAATCAGGAAATTCAGATATATTATACATGCAGAACAGAATGCCTTGACATTTAGGTATGATACTTTTTTACATATACTTCTCCTTAAAATATGCCAAGAGTTAGTTGAAATTAGTTTTCTTATCCTTTTCCTAATTCTAAGAAGTTTCCTTTTCAGAAGTATAACTTTGGTAAATTTTGGTCCTCACTGCCAGATCTGAGGCCATTATCACAGATTCTCCAGGCCTTTCCAGTTTATTGAGCAAACCTTTTCTGTTTGTCTCTCTCTCTTGAAACTGCTTGCAAGTCAGCCTCTCCTATTTCTGGCTGTTAAGATCTCCTTTGTTTTCTAAATCCGGACCACACATATTTATATTTATGAATATAGTCATGTGCCACATAACAACATTCCAGTCATCAACAGACCACAGCTAGGACAGTGGTCCCATAAGATTATAATGGAACTGAAAAATTCTATCACCTAGTGACATAGCCACTGCAATGTCCTAGCATGACACAGTACATTTTCTATGTTTGATACACAAACACCACTGTATCACAGTTGCCTTCAGCATTTAGAATAGTAACGCCGCACTGTACAGGTGCGCCGGGGGCAGCAGGCCCCACGAAGCACAGGCATAGGCACGCAGCAGGCCATCCCACCTAGGTTTGTCTAAGAACACTCAGTGATGTTCACACAGGACAAAATCACCTAACAGCACATTTTTCAGAATGTGTCCCCATTGTTAATTTAGATAATTTCCAGGAACACTTCTCAGCCTTTACCTAAAGCAGCAGTTCTCAACCTGTGGGTTGCGACCCCTTTTTTCCATTTGTAACAAGCTGCAATTAGGAAGGTTGTGAACCACTGACCTAAAGGGATGAAGTTAGAGGATTGAAAAAACTGAATAAGATTTGGCTTCTGTCCTTAGAGAGCCTCTAACACAGCAGGCGATACAGCGGACTGCAGCCTCCTAGGCAGTGGTTCTGTGAAAGAGACCAACACAAAGTGCTGAGGACACTCAGGGGCCGCTTCGGACAGGGAGGGAGGTACAGGGGAAAAGGGGTGCATTCATCATTTATGAATGATCTGGCATTCAAGCTAAGCTTTAAAGAATTGCTAGGACCGTGGCAATTAAAGACCCTTCTTCAAAGGAAAGACCATTCTTGTTTCCAGCACAAGTGTGGTCTAGAAGTCGGAAAGCACCTGGTGTGTTGAGCAGCGGGAACATTCCACTGGGGCTGGAATTCGGACATGCAGAGCAGCAGCGCACGATGGCGCGCCCTCTCTGGGCAGCAAGGAGACAGAATGGCTTTGACAAAGCCATGCCTTGGAGATTATGTAGGCAGAGTATTATTTGAACAGAACTTGGATGTGGAAAGCTGGTGGAGGGGGAATTGAAAACAGTTGGCAGGAGCAGCGTGAACCACAGAACCCAGAGTCAGTCCTCATAGCCTCAGATGGCAGCAGCCCTTAGTCCTAAACTACCCCAGCATGCAAAATTTCACCAAAGCTCCCCTGTCCTCAACATCTTCATTACACATTTATCTGCTTCATTTTGTACAAAGGTGCAAATATATCAACTCCAAACTTTTCTTAAATATTCTATGATAGGGAAGGGGTAAGAGAACTATAACTCAAAACCTAACTTTAATATTAGTTTATTCATTTAAGCATTTATTAAATTAGTTTAGTTTTAAACTAAATTTTTTTTAAAACGTATTGTTGGGGATTCATTGAGGGTGCAAGAAACCAGGTTTCACTGATTGGATTTGTTAGGTAAAGTCCCTCTTACAATCGTGTCTTGCCCCCAAAAGGTGTGGCACACACCAAGACCCCTCCTTCACCCCCTCCTTCCCTCTCTCTGCTAATCCCTTCTCCCTCCTCCCTCCTTCTTCCTCTCTCTGCTCTCCCCTCCCCTTGTCATTAATTGTCCTTATATCAAAATTGAGTACATAGGATTCATGCTTCTCCATTCTTGTGATGCTTTACTAAGAATAATGTGTTCCACTTCCATCCAGGTTAATACAAAGGCTGTAAAGTCTCCATCTTTTATAGCTGATTACTATTCCATGGTGTACATATACCACAGCTTGTTAATCCATTCTGGGCTGGTGGGTATTTAGGCTGTTTCCACATTTTGGCAATTGTAAATTGAGCTGCAATAAACAGTCTGTTTTAAACTAAATTTTAAATTAGTTTTAGTTAGTTTAAAATTAGTTTTAATTTTAAAATTAGTTTATTCATTTAAGCAATTGTTAAATACCCATTAGGTACCAAATAGGGCTGGGCCTCTTGGCTACCTTGAGTTAATATCTGATCACACATGGTAGCTCTTAAGGAAGTTTTAATCTATAATTCCAATATTTTAAAGAGGTCGTTAGTTAGAAAGCATTGATTCCCTTTTTATGTCTTTCCCTCTTCCTTTCTCTTTGATGTCTCTTTCTCTTTTCATCTACTTGTAATCTGATACTGACCATCTTACTTAGAATCAGTAAATTATTTTTAGCATAATAATTGTCATGTTTAGGTTGTATTGTAATTTATGGATTTACATTTGAACATTCAGCAAGAATAAGGCTTGAACATACTGTTTATAATATAAAATCTGTTTTTTAAAATAGTCCAATTTGAGTGTTCAAATATTTCTCTAAAAAAAAAAAAAATTTCCCTTTCAGAAACTACCTTATACTTTTATCTTATACTTTTTTTTTTAGGTGTCAAGAAATAAAACCAGAAGAAAGAACTATGATTTTTGTGACAAAGTGCCCATGTGATGAATGTGTACCTTTAATTAAGGGTGCAGGCATAAAACAAATCTATGCAGGGGACGTAGATGTTGGAAAAAAGAAAGCAGATATCTCCTACATGAGGTTCGGGGAACTTGAGGGTGTGAGCAAATTTACCGTAAGTAGATACATTATTTTCCCCTAGCTGTGCTTTCTGTTGTATTAATGTTTCAGTCGCCCTGATGCATATTGTAAATTAGTGATTCCCACCTTTTTAAAGGATTTCAACAAATATTATTACTGAATTTTTTTTTTTATGTGCAAGCACTTACCTACCTGCAAATGTTTGGTTAGGAATCCTCCCCTGGTGAACGTAGTCTCTGCGGAGTTGTACGCGACCGCGCGCGTCTTGAGCCAGCAGGCCTTTGGTGCCATCTGGTGGCTGATGAAAGAACATCTTGACCGGCCTTTTCACGCACCCTCCTCTCTTGTCTTGGTGTGCTGGACAGAGAGGTGAAGATTATTTAGATCACCCTGCAGACACACACACACGCACACACATATATGCACAGAAGACACGTCCCATGAGAGCAATCAGAGGTAAAAAAAAATAATTTCCCCGATATTTTAAAAATAACTCTACTTCTTTACTATTAGGTTGTTAAAAAACTTTATTTTGAAAACAATCTTAGGTACATAAGAAAATTAATAAAAACACTACAAAGAAGTTTTTTCCCAGAAGTTGTTAACATGATACTAGATCATCCTTTTATTTCCTCAAATGATGAATAACTCCATAACCACAATATAAGCACAGAAATCAGGAAATTATCCCTGATGTGTTACTGCCCCATCCCATTCCAGTCCAGGCTCACCAGTAATGTTCTGTACAGCTACAGGATTCTGTCCAAGGTCATACATGGTTTTATGATATGCAGTGGTTTAATCCTGACGTTTAATGTAAACTTTATGTACTAGAATTTTCAGTAGGTAACTGTTTATAGATTTCAGCTTTACATTCCTGTTATCTCTATCAGTATGTGTCCAGAGTACCTACATTTATTTATGTATATGTGTATATATACAGTGTGTACACACACACTTACACAGAGGCTATCCAGAAAGTGTCCAGCTATTACTATTATTTTTCATATTACACAGATGAATATTTCTAATTATTTTAAAGTTTATCATAGTTTGAGAAGAGAAAGGGAGTGATGTGGCACTGAAAGAAGGGAGAGATGAGAAAGATGCCTCTCTTGTAAAACTATATCAAAGCTTGTATCGAGTGAGAGCACTCTCCAGTCATGCGTTTTTGTTTTCTGTCTCTTCTTTCCTCCTAAAGAATGTGGAGAAATGGGTTTTTCAAATTCTCTTCATAAAAATTAAATGACCTTGGGCTGTGTCTGTGGCTCAAAGGAGTGGGGCACCGGCCCCATATACCAGGGGTGGTGGGTTCAAAACTGGCCCCAGCCAAAAACTACAAAAAAAAAACAAATTAAATGACCTAGTTCTTTAGAACTATGAATGATAATCGGTTATTGCCAATTCTGAAATATCTTGCTTACTAGTAGATTTTGGTAGCTTTTTCTTTTCTTTCTTTCTTTTTTTTTTATTTTTTTGAGATAGAGTCTCACTTTTTCCCGCTCGGTAGAGTGCCATGGCATCACAGCTCACCTTGAACCTCAAATTCCTGGGTTCAAGCAATTCTCTTGCCTCAGCCTCCCAAGTAGCTGGAACTACAGGCACCTGCCACAACACCCTGCTATTTTTAGAGACAAGGTCTCACTCTGGCTCAGGCTGGTCTCGAATATTAGCATTGACACCATCCACCACCCACCTCTGCCTCCCAGAGTGTTAGGATTACAGACATGAGCCACTCCACCCAGCCCCTTAGTAGCTTTTCAATTGCTAAGAGAATAAAGAGAAAAATAGGGCAAGAGAAGTAAGAGGAAGAAGACAAAAGGAGGCCTCAGGGGCAAAAATGGGGACAAGAGATGCTTCCTGGAACAGACCCACTCAGGAGGACCCTACTCAGGTACGTTTTGAGAGAAAAGATGTACTCTGGGTTGTTCCCTGTTCTTCTCATGATGATTAGCTCTCCATCCTGCCATCCCTCCCCTCATCTGGCCTGGCTTGAAATATTACCCAGATGGTTAGCTAAAACATCTACTTTTGTAAATTCCAGTGGTTAACACACACTAGTATTTGTTCTAAATTTGAATTTCAATAATGATTATATTCTTACTTCTAGACTGTTAAAAGTTGTATAAGTATCAGTTGATATTTGTTTTTAAGATTTAAAGCAAATTGCAATTAATTTTGGTTGAAAGATTTTTGCTTTTCTTTTGATATGTTACCATGGACCTTGAGATAAGTGGTTGTGTAGTAGGCTGGGCTAGAGCTGTTCAGCACTGTTTTCTTTTCTTTTTGAAATGGGGTCTCACTATGTTACTCAGGCTCATCTAAAACTCCTAGGTTCAAGTAATCCTCCCACCTCTGCCTCCTGAGTAGCCGGGCCTACAGGTATAAGCCATCATGCCTGGCTTAATACTATTTTCAAGAATAGATTTTATGAGTGTGTATATCCATGTCCACTTATGCAATTCTTTCTTTTTTTTTCCTGCTCCATATTTGCAGATTTTTCTCAATTAGGTCATATTACTTTGTATATTATGAAAGTAATATATGCTCATTTTTTTTTTTTTTTTTTGAGACAGAGCCTCAAGCTATCCCCCTGGGTAGAGTGCCATATTACAGCTCACAGCAACCTCCAACTCCTGGGCTCAAGCGAGTCTCCTGCCTCAGCCTCCCAAGTAGCTGGGACTACAGGCGCCTGCCACAACGCCCGGCCATTTTTTTGGTTGCAGCCATCATTGTTGTTTGGCGGGCCCAGGCTGGGGATTCGAACCCGCCACCTTAGGTGTATGTGGCTGGCGCCTTAGCTGCTTGAGCCACAGGCGCCAAGCCTATATGCTCATTTTTGAACAGTAGGAAAATAAAAAAGAACATATATTATCTCACAACTCATAGATGCCACTATTAACATATTGGCCTATTTTCTGTATCATTCAAAATTCTTTAAAAATTGCAATTTTCCAACCTATTTAACCATTTTCCTGTTGTTAGACTAGATTGTTTCTACATTTTTAAAATTATAAAAATTTTTTATGAATATTCTTAAGTGTAAATTCAGGACTATTGGTTTTTAATTTTAATTCTGCCAAAATTAAGATTAAGTTATTTTAAGACATTTTAAGACTCTTCTTTTTTTTTTTTTTTTTTTGTAATTTCTCATTTCTGTTAGGGACCTATCAATTCTAAATGTCCTCCCTTTCTAAGGCTTTTTTTTTTATATGTGGTAAAATGTCTTACATATCACCTCTTCTCAAGGTTCAAGTTGTTAACTAGGTAATCTGATAAACTAGTTGATGTTTATGAAAGAGGCTCCCAGGTAATAGGTACTGAATCTTATCTCCTGAGATAGCGCCCCACGGCCTTTCTGGTTAAGTCCTTAGTGATTTCTAGATAGAATCTAGAAGCCAGGTGAACAAGGAAGGGCTGTGCTGTGAGATGCTGATCACACTGCATTTCCCTTTGCTGCTGATCCAGACTTCCCTGTGACATCTGAGAATTTTCAGGCTTCCTTCTTTCTTTCCAAATCGTTTAGATGGAAAACTATAATCAGAGGAAATATGATATGTGATATTATATGACATAAAATGATATGATGTAAAATTGTAAATAATAGTTTATATAGCATAACAACAGTAAAAGGTAAAGTAATCTTGGTCATATTTTCAGTCTTTAATATCTAAGCCTTCTCCATCTGTTATTAGAATCTGTAGGACCTGGAGATGGAATATGAAGTCATGTTACTAATAATTCCATAGGACTGACTGGGCAGGCCTGGGTTCTACTTCTGTCACTGCTTGTGGTTAGTGTATAATTTGGGCAAGTCACTCCAATTAGTCCTCTGGTCTTCTGCATCCTTACCTGTAAAATGAGTGTTAAGGGCCTTTCCAGTCTCTTTATCCTCTAAGAGTATTGATTCTGGTCCCCAAAATCATATCATTTAGGGTTACTCAGGATGGCCTTATTAGGACTTTGTTGATATGGACATGCTAACTCCTTTTCCTTGTATTTTTTAAAAGCTGTTTTGATATTTAAAAGCAGGGTACTAAAATTCTGTTTTTTAAATCCCCTTTAAACACATAAATAAAAGTCTGTGCCCCCTTACAGTGGCAACTGAATCCATCAGGAGCTTATGGTCTTGAACAAAACGAGCCTGGAAGGAGAGAAAGTGAGTATTTACAAGTCCTGCATTGAGGGTTACTTGGTTGCTGAGGAGAAAGGACATATGGTGATTTTAATGATCAGGTGATGGAAATCATGACATTGATAGACAGAGTATTCTTTTCTACAGGGTAGAGTTTTACTATTCACTTTCTTCTTAAACATTTGTATTATCTACCAGATGTTAGGTGCTATGAAAAGTGCTGATTAATAATTACTCCTGTAGAAACTACAGTTTAATGTAAGTAATGATGTACAAATTGAATTTGTAAATTAAACATATATGAAACAGTAGACAACAGTGCTCTTCTGTACCAAAACACAAGCTTCTTGGGCAGTTAGAAAGGAAAAATATGTACAATTAGCATAGCTGGCTCTATGTCTAAATGATGAGGATGTATACCTTCTTTCAGGTAAAATCCAGGTTGGTCAGAGAATGGAAACATTCCAGTTACTTAAATAATCTGTTTAAGAATCATCAGAGCTACCATATATGAATTACTGGTTTTTAAAACCTTATTATCTGCACATTAACTCAGATATTTGAACATCATATAATCTTTAAGAAATCCTAGGCACATAATTTTGGAAATCAGTGTTACACGGTATTATTTTAAAATAAGTAGCTATATTATCTGCTTGTTTGGGTTCTATGGAAATGGAAGTTTACTGTAAGTTTTCTTGATGATAATAATTTTTTTCCCCTAAACAATCAAGAAATATAAAGGTGAAAATAATTTCTATGTGAATATCTTGATATTCTGTGTTCTAAATTAGCTTTATTTTACTCAAATAGTAAATTAGTTATTTGCGATCTGGAAAAATATAGGTATATATATCTACTGAACTATTGTGTCTTTCATTTTAATAAAAATTATCAGGAAAGAAAAGCAAAAAAAAAAAAAAATCCAAAGAAAGGAAATATATGTATCTGATTAAGAATGTACATTCAATGACAGTGTTTGTGGGGATCAATTAATAATTTCCTGTTTTCCCAAGCATTGTAAGAGATACAGAACTTCAGATAATAGACAGTTTCAGAACCCCAGCAAGACTCAATCCAAATAAAGCATCTCCTAGATACATTGTGATTAACTTTGACAAAGATAAGATGTAAGAGAAAATTCTGCAAGCAGCCAGACGTAAGAAAAGCATCACCTACAAAGGGAGAAATACCAGAATGACTGCAGCTCTCTCAGCTGAAACATTTCAAACCAGAAGAGGATGGTCATCAACTTTCAATCTCCTAAAACAAAACAACTTCCAGCCCAGCATCCTGTATCCAGCTAACTGAGTTTCATTTGTGATGGAGAAATCAAATACTTTAATGATATACAAATGTTGAAGAAATTTGCCATAACTAAACCAGCTCTCCAGGATATTCTCAGAACTATCCTCCACAATGACCAGCACAATGCTCTACCTCCAAAGTAAACTTACCCAGAAATTTTTGAATAAAACCCAACTTCCACAGTGGTGAAAGGATTAAAAATGTCCACTGGATATCCAAAAATCATGACACCCAAAACACCTGGCTTATCAGTTCTCTCAATTAATGTGAATGGTTTAAATTGTCTTCTAAAGAGGCACAGGCAGATGGGCGCCTGTGACTCAAGTGGCTAAGGCGCTGGCCACATACACCTAAGGTGGATGTGTTCAAATCCAGCCTGGGCCCACCAAACAACAATGACGGCTGCAACGAAAAAATAGCTGGGTGTTGTGGCTGGTGCCTGTGGTCCCAGCTACTTGGGAGGCTGATGCAAGAGGATCACTTAAGCCTAAGA